TTAATTTATTTATTTATTCATAGGTAGATTAACCACATGAATTTTAAAGTTTTAGAACAATCGCTTTCTTTGACTGAATACTGACGACACAAGTTTTGTTTACTTTTTAGTACAATAAACATGGCGGCTTCAATCATAGACTTTGTGGCCCATTCAAAACTTTAACGCGTTCTAAATCTAATTTTCTGTCGGCCATAACTTTAACAATACGTCCGTTTGCTGTTTTTATTACGTTCCAACACTTATATAAATTTTCAACTGTCTTTTTCATTTAGTTTTACTATAAATTTCTCTAGCTCTACAATCAGTCCAAGAAAGTTATTTATAGATCTAAAAATATCATGTGGCCAAGCAAGATATTTATAGATCTAGATCTAGAATCTAGGTCAAACCAAAGATTAATTAGATACATACCAAAGATTAATTAGATGAAATTACAATCCATTTTATAATCATAATACATTTTTTAAATACTTGATATAAATCTTTGTGATTTATCTATCTAGATCTAGATCTATCTAGCTAGAATAGGTCTAATGATTAGATCAAGATTCTAGAGCTAGATATAGCAAAAGTTACGCAAAAGCTAGACTTAAGACTTAAGCAAACGAGTCGTAGAATCTAGATCTAGATAGAACCTATCTAGATCTAGATAATTTCAGACATTCATTATTTTATATAAATCTTTGTTTGGCTAATTTAAGATGAAATTTAATTTGAAAGTTACTACTACTAGACTTAGATCTAGATCTCTGCGAGTAAATCAAGTTGCATAAGGAGACTCAAAGTATTAAACTATAGTATAAAAAAACATCATCCGTATCCGTATCCGTATCCGTATCCGTATCCGTATCCGTATCCGTATCCGTATCCGTATCCGTATCCGTATCCGTATCCGTATCCGTATCCATATCCGTATCCGTATCCGTATCCGTATCCGTATCCGTATCCGTATCCGTATCCGTATCCGTATCCGTATCCGTATCCGTATCCGTATCCGTATCCGTATCCGTATCCGTATCCGTATCCGTATCCATATCCGTATCCGTATCCGTATCCGTATCCGTATCCGTATCCGTATCCGCATCCGCATCCGTATCCGCATCCGCATCCGCATCCGCATCCGCATCCGGATGTATCATTAGAACAATTACATAAGAATAAACTAAAATGTATACGAAGACTCGACGCACATTATGTTTTAAAATTATCATTACTTTTTCATGTTTTATGAAATTAATTAACAATTTTAAGTTGAGTTTGTGTTATGTTTGTGTTGTGTTTGTGTTGTGTTTGTGTTGTGTTTGTGTTGTGTTTGTGTTGTGTTTGTGTTGAGTTTGTGTTGTGTTTGTGTTGTGTTTGTATTGTGTTTGTGTTTGTGTTTGTGTTTAGTTTTGTTCTGTTCTGTTCTTAACGTGGCACATTAAAAAAAAAGTCACCTTGAGGGATCACTGGTGTATATATATATATATATATATATATATATATATATATATATATATATATATATATATATAGCATTCCTGAAAAACGGATAAGTATCTTTTTGAATCGCGTCAGCCTTAATCAATTCAAGCAGATCGCATACCTGAAGTAAGTCTACTACTACAGCAGATCAATCCAAAGTAAAGGTAAGCGCTGGTTATTTTTACTGTGATTTGTATTTTTCTTTTTTTTTTCTTAGTTGTTATAATTTTTCTGTGTGCAGCTTTGAATGTATTAACCATATCTAAAGCTTTTAACATTTTTAACCAATCGACTACATATAATACTTAATGATTAACATACCTATACACATACACACACACACATACACATACACATACACATACACATACACATACACATACACATACACATACACATACACATACACATACACATACACATACACATACACATACACATACACATACACATACACATACACATACACATACACATACACATACACATACACATACACATACACATACACATACACATACACATACACATACACATACACATACACATACACATACACATACACATACACATACACATACACATACACATACACATACACATACACATACACATACACATACACATACCCATACACATACACATACACATACACATACACTTACACATACACATACACATACACATAAAAATACACATACACATACACATACACATACACATACACATACACATACACATACACATACACATACACATACACATACACATACACATACACATACACATACACATACACATACACATACACATACACATACACATACACATACACATACACATACACATACACATGCACATGCACATGCACATGCACATGCACATGCACATGCACATGCACACGCACACGCACACGCACACGCACACGCACACGCACACGCACACGCACACGCACACGCACACGCACACGCACACGCACTCGCACTCGCACACGCACATGCACATGCACACGCACATACACATACACATACACATACACATACACATACACATACACATACACATACACATACACATACACATACACATACACATACACATACACATACACATACACATACACATACACATACACATACACATACACATAAACATACACATACACATACACATACACATACACATACACATACACATACACATACACATACACATACACATACACATACACATACACATACACATACACATACACATGCACATCCACATGCACATGCACATGCACATGCACATGCACATGCACATGCACATGCACAAACACATACACATACACATACACATACACATACACATACACATACACATACACATACACATACACATACACATACACATACACATACACATACACATACACATACACATACACATACACATACACATACACATACACATACACATACACATACACATACACATACACATACACATACACATACACATACACATACACATACACATACACATACACATACACATACACATACACATACACATACACATACACATACACATACACATACACATACACATACACATACACATACACATACACATACACATACACATACACATACACATACACATACACATACACATACACATACACATACACATACACATACACATACACATACACATACACATACACATACACATACACATACACATACACATACACATACACATACACATACACATACACATACACATACACATACACATACACATACACATACACATACACATACACATACACATACACATACACATACACATACACATACACATACACATACACATACACATACACATACACATACACATACACATACACATACACATACACATACACATACACATACACATACACATACACATACACATACACATACACATACACATACACATACACATACACATACACATACACATACACATACACATACACATACACATACACATACACATACACATACACATACACATACACATACACATACACATACACATACACCCAAACCTACACTTACACTTACACTTACTCTTACACCTACTTCTACACATGCACCTGCACCTACGCATACATACACACACCTACACAAACAATAGCACTTACAACTACACCTACAACTATACCTTTTCCTACTTCTATATCTGCTCTTACTCATACCTATACCAACAGCAACATCTACTACAACAACTACAACTACACTTACAACTACACTTACAACTACAACTACAACTACAACTGCAACTGCAACTACAGCAACTAAAACTACAACTTCAACTACAACGAAACCAGCAACTACAACTACACTTCTTATACCTACTGCAATTACTGCTACACCTACTGCCATATCTTAACCTACACCTATATCTTGAGCTGGAGTTTACAAAATGTAATGATTTTTTATCACTTTAGAATTTATAACCAAATGGCATGATTAGAGTTTATATTCAAATTAAAGATGTTACCGAAAATATCCAATCCCTAGATTAAAAATAAATTAGAGGGGCATAGAAAGGTACACATTATAATTTATTGAATAAGTAATTTGGCAGCATGGTTTACGAGATTTTAAAAACAATTTGGCGTCCACTTTCGGGGGAAGGTTCGTTGAAAGTGGACACGTGTGGACGGGTCGAGGGTGGAACCAAAAGTCAAATTTTTATGGACGTCATGAAAGGATGATCTCAAATTGAAAAAGAAATACAACATGAAGGAGTTGTTATTCTAATGTTCACTTTTATGTAGGCTATATAAGTTGTCCTGACAATCTACCTCAAAGAATGGGCGCTGAGAGTTAATAGAACTGCACTTTAACAATAGCCAAAGCACCACCAAACAACCAGAATTTATGAAAGAAATTTAATTTTTATTGGAAAAAAATTAGCCAGATATACTGAGTTTAAGTACCCTAAAATCCGCGTTGAGATGACCCTCTGTTTTTCCTATAAAATACAAAGATTATATAGGGAAATACAACTGGTCAGTTTTGACCCCTTTACAAAGTTTTCGCAGAGTTTTTTGTGACACCCCTAGGTGTTCTCCTACCAACTCACAAAATTTCAAGGGGGGTCGTCGGACGAAAGTTTTTTACGTAATATAGCCAATATAAGGCGCCGGTCAGTCGAGGTCAGTTTTGACCCCCTCTCCGTAGACATTTCGACCAGACGTCACCGTCCCTCGTGTTCTATCGCTCCAAGGCACAATCGTGGCAATTTGACGCGCCTGCGGAGCCGGGAAGTGCCCTATCGGGCACCTGACCACTTTGCTTTATATATATAGATATATAGATATAAAATTATGTATACATATATACATGTATATATACATATACATATATATTTGAATATATACATTTATATATTTATGAAAATGTTAAAGAAAAAAAATATAGTGAGCTTCAATGTACGCACCTGGCTTGTCAAATAAATGAGCCGTATAATAGAGATATACGTCATTTTTCAGTTATCATTGTAGCCATTGGAAGATTGTCGTGAATCAAAATGAGTGCCACACAAAAATACACTAGAGGTAGCTTTCGATATGTTATGTTATGTTATGTTATGTTATGTTATGTTATGTTATGTTATGTTATGTTATGTTATGTTATGTTATGTTATGTTATGTTATGTTATGTTATGTTATGTTATGTTATGTTATGTTATGTTATGTTATGTTATGTTATGTTATGTTATGTTATGTTATGTTATGTTATGTTATGTTATGTTATGTTATGTTATGTTATGTTATGTTATGTTATGTTATGTTATGTTATGTTATGTTATGTTATGTTATGTTATGTTATGTTATGTTATGTTATGTTATGTTATGTTATGTTATGTTATGTTATGTTATGTTATGTTATGTTATGTTATGTTATGACGTTACGTTACGTTACGTTACGTTACGTTACGTTACGTTACGTTACGTTACGTTACGTTACGTTACGTTACGTTACGTTACGTTACGTTACGTTACGTTACGTTACGTTACGTTACGTTACGTTACGTTACGTTACGTTACGTTATGTTACGTTACGTTACGTTACGTTATGTTACGTTATGTTACGTTACGTTACGTTACGTTATGTTATGTTACGTTATTTTATGTTATGTTATGTTATGTTATGTTATGTTATGTTATGTTATGTTATGTTACGTTATGTTATGTTATGTTATGTTATGTTATGTTATGTTATGTTATGTTATGTTATGTTATGTTATGTTATGTTATGTTATGTTATGTTATGTTATGTTATGTTATGTTATGTTATGTTATGTTATGTTATGTTATGTTATGTTATCTTATCTTATCTTATCTTATCTTATCTTATTTTATCTTATCTTATCTTATCTTATCTTATCTTATGTTATCTTATGTTATCTTATGTTATCTTATGTTATCTTATGTTATGTTATATTATGTTATGCCATGCCATGCCATGCCATGCCATGCCATGCCATGCCATGCCATGCCATGCCATGCCATGCCATGCCATGCCATGCCATGCCATGCCATGCCATGCCATGCCATGCCATGCCATGCCATGCCATGCCATGCCATGCCATGCCATGACATGCCATGACATGCTATACCATGCTAAGCTATGCTATGCTATGCTATGCCGTGCTATGCCATGTCATTCTATGCCATGCTATGCCATTCTATGCTATGCCATGCCATGCTTTGCTGGGCTGGGTTGGGTTGGGTAGGGTTGTGTTAGGTTAGGTTAGGTTAGGTTAGATTGGGTTAGGTTAGGTTAGGTTAGTTTAGTTTAGTTTAGGTTAGGTTAGGTTAGGTTAGGTTAGGTTAGGTTAGGTTAGGTTAGGTTAGGTTAGGTTAGGTTAGGTTAGGTTAGGTTACGTTAGGTTAGGTTAGGTTAGGTTAGGTTAGGTTAGGTTAGGTTAGGTTAGGTTAGGTTAGGTTAGGTTAGGTTAGGTTAGGTTAGGTTAGGTTAGGTTAGGTTAGGTTAGGTTAGGTTAGGTTAGGTTAGGTTAGGTTAGGTTAGGTTAGGTTAGGTTAGGTTAGGTTAGGTTAGGTTAGGTTAGGTTAGGTTAGGTTAGGTTAGGTTAGGTTAGGTTAGGTTAGGTTAGGTTAGGTTAGGTTAGGTTAGGTTAGGTTAGGTTAGGTTAGGTTAGGTTAGGTTAGGTTAGAATAGGTTAGGTGTTTTTTGCATGCCTTTTTATATCTAACCCTACCAATTAGGAAAAATACAATAACTAATTAACAACAAACAATTAATTATACTTCCTGAAGAAATTATCACTGATTCACAGGCGGTGGTCTTGAAATGATACAAATTAAATAACGGTGGCCTAGCGAGATTTTAAGAAATTTATCAAAACTGAACAGCGGCTTTATATCTTTACAACATCTTTTCAATTGTTCAAGAAAATGTAGTCATATTTATTTTAACGAGATTAATATTTTCTTATTTTGTTGTTTATTTATATAACTTTCTATACCACGATGCAACTTAAGTGTTAAGAAATACTAATCATAAACGCGCGTACGTGCATATTAATTATGATAAAGATTTTCTCTGTATTTGTGAATTGTCTTGTATACTTTAACTTTGAAAATATTTTATTTAGAAAGATTCGAGCGACTAAAGATTGAGGATACTGTATTAAACTCAAGCGATGTTAGCTCACCTGGAATAGGTATTTAATTTTTTTTGTCACTAAACTGAATTTTTTTACCAGGCTCATTTTGCTTACAAACACCAAATGTATAAATTATCAAATTTTTCTTATGTTATAATTCATCTTTCTTACTCTCAGAAAATAAGAAAGACAAAAATGTTTATAGATCAATGCTTCACACATTGCAACATAGACCAAACGGTCTAAACTCTAGAGCTAAAGTCTACGACAATATCCAATCATTAATCAAGGCCAATAAAGAAACAACTCAAGCTACACTTGAAGCTGAGCAAATAACGAAAAGTATTTTACATATGGAGCACAACATTGTAGCTGCTATAGAAAATCAGACAAAAATGTTGACAGCAACTATTCGAGAATCAATAAAAAATACAGAAGATAATAAGAGCGAAAATGATCGACCGTACGTTGACAAGGTTAACAAACTTGATGTAGTTTTACAAACGCCAAATGAAGCGAAACATGAAAACGTACCAAAACAAAAGAAGATGAAACATCGACAGTTTGTGAGAGAGCAAATAGCCGTATACGAATCATTTTCAACCAATCTTCATTCATTGGAAACTGGATCATCTTATAAAAAAACGAAGTTAATTGATCTTTTTGAAAATCAATGCGTACATGCAGAGAGAAATGCAAATAGTTTTCTCTCTCCTCAGGAGGAAATACCCGATAAGAAAAATACGGTTGTAATGAGACAAGTTAAGGACCTACGGGAAACGCCAGAAAATAAAAATACCATGGCTAATATTGTTAGTAAACATGATAAAGACTTACAGATGCCAAAAAACGAAAAGCATGAAAACTTACCAAAACAAAAGAAGATGAAACATCGACAGTTTGTGAGAGAGCAGATAGCCGTATACGAATCATTTACAGACAATCTGTATTCATCGGATACTCGATCATCTTATAAAACAAAGGCAATTTCAGATAAGAAAAATACGGTTGAAATCACACAGACAAAAGAGAAATGCCATGTTCAACAAATAAACCTGTTCAGAGATTTGTATTTAGGTATCAAACTTCATACGAAGGAAAACTGCTTGAAAAAGCAAATGGAGCAACCGATTCTGATGAAGATCTAATAATACAGCAGCAACAAAAAAATTCCATTTAAATAACGAGAAATATACAAGCCGTGTGTATTAACAAGCAGCATCTTTGTTAAAAAAATATATTACTCAAAGAAAGCCAACTTTTTATTGTAATGGGTTCATCTATTACTTTTAAAAGCTACATTGAAATATAAAATGTTTGCTCATATAATGGCATGTTGTTATCTTTAGTGTTATAAAATATTTAAACAAAGCATCTTTTTTTAATTTTTTAAATTTTATTTTAATTTTGATTAATTAAGTGTTTTTATTGATGTTTGTTTAAAGTGCATTTTTTTATTGTGCCTTTATTTTATTATCCATGTCTGCAACACAATGTCCTCACGTCTGTGTTTATGTGATCTAATGCAAACATTAAAATGGTTCTTGTCATCTTAAATGTTAACCAAAGACAAACAGAAATAACAGAAATATATGGTTTTTAATATACAAGTTTAAATTTAGCAATTAAAAACTATTTTTAATCTTGTAGGGGTTCAATTACATTTTTGCACATTTTATTGACTTGATTCCCATGTAAATACAACTCACATCTATCGGTGTATAGTGTATATGGTTGTATGTTCGAATAGAGGAATGCTTGCATCATTTATTATTTTTCTAGACAGATACATTTTTAAAATCTTTTTCATATCGCCATATTAACTGCACACTTATCTACCTTACCAGTATTATAACATTAGTACTCGAGTTCAGGGTTTCATTCAGACATTTGTTTCTCCGATGGTAGAGGTGGGGCACCTCCAACCTGCTGTTAGGGAGTGAGATGGACACTGGATAAAGAAAATGTTTTCTAAAGAAGTTATATTTTTCCATTATACCAGGGGTCTCCAAACTACGGCCCGCGGGCCGGATGCGGCCCGCGAAGTCCCCTCACCGGGCCCGCGGGAATTCTTTTTGTCCAAGGAAAAATTGTTTGTCGCTGATTGCTGAGGAACTTAGCCCAGAAAAATCAAAGACATGCCTGGAAAAAACTGGCCCCCGAACTGAAATTCGATAGTTAATGCGGCACTCGGACTGAAAAGTTTGGAGACCCCTGGTCTATATCATTGTCTGTATCATTGTCTGTATCCTTGTATGTATCATATTCTTTATATAATTGTCTGTATCATTGTTTGTATCATTGTCTGTATCATAGTCTGCATCATTGTGTGTATAATTGTCTGTATCGTTGTCTGTATCATTCTCTGTATCATTGTCTGTATCATTGTCTGTATCATTGTCTGTATCATTGTCTGTATCATTGTATGTATCATAGTCTGTATCATTGTCTGTATCATTGTCTATATTATTGTCTGTTTCATAGTCTGTATCATTGTATGTATCATTGTCTGTATCATTGTCTATTTCATAGTCTGTATCATTGTCTGTATCATTGTCTATATCATAGTCTGTATTATTTTCTGTATCATTGTCTGTATCATTGTCTGTATCATTGTCTGTATCATTGTCTGTTTCATAGTCTGTATCATTGTCTGTATCATTGTCTATATCATAGTCTGTATCATTGTCTGTATCATTGTCTGTTTCATAGTCTGTATCATTGTCTGTATCATTGTCTATATCATAGTCTGTATCATTGTCTGTATCATTGTCTGTATCATTGTATATATTGTCTGTAAATCAACACAATAACCTAATGTAACAGGTTTCGGTCAAAGCTATTTCTGGTAACAAACCCCTTCATAAATTTTCCAATTCGTGCCCAAGTCACATGGAGCAGATGAAGTATAGGTCATCTGTTCTAAAGACCTCGGCATCTGAAGGGATAGTGTGGTCAGCACTATGCCCAGCCTTCTTTTTATTACCCCAACATGAGTTAGGTAATCCTACCCCAAAGTCGTAGCGACACCCTTCCAGGCGCCCGGGGACAAACTTTCAATTTGGCGCCCCCCTCAAAGTATTTATAATGCAAAAATGCAGCTAAAATTACATTTTAATTTGTTTTTACAACCCATTTAGGCGCACCCTAAGTTCGGCGCCCGGGGACATATGTATCCCCCCTGCCCCCCCCCCCTCTTGGCTACGCCTCTGTCCTACCCATCACAGCAGAGTGGACTCAGTGACGGTCTATAGACTTGAATATGTGTTCGAACTCTAAAATCCCTTTAGTTGGTCTTTAGTAACTGAGAAAATTTAGCGTTATGGATAATCATCTTATGTGCATATTCATCATTCAATTATATTTCTTTTCACAATTTTCGACACAGGTCAATTGAGGAGTAAAATTATTTTGTATGTGATTAAAAAACTAAACAAACTTAATTTAAGCATTTTAACTAACTTTTTTTTTTCAATTGTTGAAAGACTTTACAAAAATGGTTTACCCTACTTTATTATGTTTTTCAAATCTTTAATCCTCTACATTAAGTAATAACATGTTCCTACTAAAGTTACTATGCAAATACTGAATCAGAAATTTAACAAGAAGATTTAAATCACCAAAATTGGCTATTACTCTTATTTTATGTGACAAAAATATTTAATTTTCATTTTATTTGTAAAGGGAGACAATAACACCAAACACTTCGCAAGGCTACATACACATTTACCGGCCTTACCAGTGTTATAATTTTACTCGTCTATAGTGCCTACTTTTTTGTTTACAAGCTTTTACTTTTTTATAATGTCCGTTTGTGTGTTTCCTAGTTGTCTGTGGTAACTCAGTTTTGAGCCATTTTTAATGTTCCGATTTCATAGAAATTTTCCAGATAAGTTTCTTTAAGATCACATCGTAAGAATATGTGTTTCTTTACCTAATTATTGATCTGTTTTGACATTTAGAATTAAATGTGTAGTAATATACATATTTATATGAAGAGAGTGATTATTTCCCCTTGTTCGTGTGTCTTAATATTCTAGGAATCAATATGTCAAATTGTTTTTTACAAGGCTTACAAAACAGATTGTGTTGCTTTCATTGTTTTTGGTTGCATTGTATATATATATATATATATATATATATATATATATATATATATATATATATATATATATATATATATATATATATATATATATATATATATATTTTTTTATTTTTTTTTTTTTTATTTTTTTTATAGAGTGATAAATTGTTTTGTTTTGTCGGCCTACATTGCGTGTTTTTTATCACTTCAGAGTACTACTTTCAATATATTTTGCATCATAGCGAACCAATGACAGACCATGAGACGATCCTGGCTACGCCACTGGTTTGTCCTAAAAACCCACGCGAACCGGGGAGGATAGGTCTGGGGTTCCTTTTTTAACTCCGTAATGGATGACCCCCGCTTTATTAAATGCATTATTTTCTCTAGGGCTCTATTTATTATATCAAGAATTAGAAATTACCCCGCTAACAGTAGCCAAAGTCTTTACTTTAGCTTGATATTTGCCGTCGATCAGAATACTATTTTTTTGCTAAATTGGCTTTGTCTATATGGGACGACTTTTGGCTCTAACGATCGTAATATTTACATTAGTTACAGTCATGGGACATAACCTTGACCTAAAACCTTGGTCCTGAAAATATGACACTCTCATGACAGCCATGCGTCAACACAACTTTGGCTTCGCCCCAAAAACGTGACAAAGTTTCTATCAAAAGAATCAAATGCTTACGCGAAAAAACATTCTTTAGAAATTAAACTCACATAAAATCTATATAGGCTTATCCGTCATTTTAACGCATTCACAACGGAGCGCGACATAAATTACAGGTAGTTAAAATATTGTATCACATCAACCACTCGGAAATTATTTGCTTGAATAGATCGTATTTAAATGTTAGTTTCGTGTCCGTTTATTGCATTCATAGGGGGACAATGACACGAACACATTTGAATTTAATTTGTTGCAGTAACTTACCCCCTCAAAGTTTTATTTGTACGGAGTATCAACACGTTTGTCTGAAAGACACGAACTATTAATGCGATCGTCTTCATTGATACCGCGCATTCTAAAAGCATTCGAACAAAACTGGTTCATTTTTTTTATTTTTTTTTTTTGGCTTACTGGAGTTTGAATACGTTCAATAGTTTTATTTTATTTCTAAAAGGAATCCCATTGAACAAATTATAATTCAACTTATTTATCTGAAATAAATAAGTATCGTTAACATTGATCTATTCTCTTTATTTTGGTCCAATCGAATTTTAATCTCTAACAAAAGAAATGGAAATTTCCTTACAATTCTATGTCAAAAGTGGACGGGTTTTAAAAGCTTAAAACTACGTTTCATAACAGCCACCAGGTGTGCCCTCTATCGAAAAGTCACGTCTAAAATGACCTTGTCAAAATGCATCGGACATTGAGGTTACAGTGTCTAGTTTTTTTATATAATTTATATATGATTAATACAGAATATCCAATATGAAATGGACCCACCTAAATACCATGATCAAATCGCACCATTCAAGATATATTGTTTAAAATTATAAATATAATTTATAATTGTTACTTAATTTCATGAAACATGAAAAAGTAATGATAATTTTAAACCATAATGTGCGGTGAGTCTCCGTATACATTTTAGTATATTCTTATATGTAATTGTTCAAATGGTACATCCAGAGATATCAGCTAATAAATATAGAAGTTAGTTACGAGAAAACAAAAAAAGACGAAGAACGTACTCCTTGGTGAGAATATGTTGCTATATTATCTGGTTACGAAGTTGTTGCTTTGAGAAAAGTATTATTTCAATTTACAGAAAATCGCTAAAAGTTAATACAAATCTACGTACAGGAGCTAATACTCATGCATCGAATTTTCAAGAGGAAATTCAAGGAGATAGATATGGTTATGGCGTGCGGCGTCAAAACGGCTAATGACAAACGGCCCCGTCAAAACGACTCCGACAAATAGGCCCCGACATAAGAGCCCCGTCAAATTTACCCCGTCAAAATGGCCAGCGACATATGGACCCCGTCACAAAGGCTCCCGATAAATAGGCTCCCGTCATTCAGGCTCCCGACAAATAGGCTCCCGTTATAAAGGCTCCCGACAAAAGCGTTCCAGTAAATAAGGCTCCTGACAAATAGGCTCCCGTCATTTTGGCTCCCGACGTATAGGCTCATTTATTTTTTTTCCACAAAACGGCCCCCGTCATTACGACTCCCGACAAATAGGCTCCCGCCTTTTAGTTTCTCCACAAAACGGCCCCGTCATTGCGACTCCCGACAAATAGGCAAGCGTCATTTTGGCTCACGACAAAAAGGCTCATGTCAATTTGGCTCCAGACAAAAGGACCACTGAAAATACCGTTTCAGTAGAGACTAAGTCTGCCGGCAAAACGGTCTCATTGAATATGAAACCTGCCAGTGGGACCCCTTCATCAATATTCTTTAGAGTTAGCTTATCCAACACTCTTAAGTAATACAACGTTTGCATCTCTTGTTCGGCAGGCCTTATTTTTATAATTGTTTATCATTGTTACTTTTATGCCAATAGTGGTCAAGCCATTCATTTGTCTGGAGCCAATATGTCGGGAGTCATTTTGTCGGTAGCCAATATATCGGGGGCACCGGTTATGGTTATGGTTATGGTTATGGTTATGGTTATGGTTATGGTTATGGTTATGGTTACGGTTACGGTTATGGTTATGGTTATGGTTATGGTTATGGTTATGTTATGGTTATGGTTATGGTTATGGTTATGGTTATGGTTATGGTTACGGTTACGGTTATGGTTATGGTTACGGTTACGGTTACGGTTATGGTTACGGTTACGGTTACGGTTATGGTTACGGTTACGGTTACGGTTACGGTTACGGTTACGGTTACGGTTACGGTTACGGTTACGGTTACGGTTACGGTTACGGTTACGGTTACGGTTACGGTTACGGTTACGGTTACGGTTACGGTTACGGTTACGGTTACGGTTACGGTTACGGTTACGGTTACGGTTACGGTTACGGTTACGGTTACGGTTACGGTTACGGTTACGGTTACGGTTACGGTTACGGTTACGGTTACGGTTACGGTTACGGTTACGGTTACGGTTACGGTTACGGTTACGGTTACGGTTACGGTTACGGTTACGGTTACGGTTACGGTTACGGTTACGGTTACGGTTACGGTTACGGTTACGGTTACGGTTACGGTTATGGTTATGGTTATGGTTATGGTTATGGATATGGTTATGGTTATGGTTATGGTTATGGTTATGGTTATGGTTATGGTTATGGTAATGGTAATGGTTATGGTTATGGTTATGGTTATGGTTATGGTTATGGTTATGGTTATGGTTACGGTTATGGTTACGGTTACGGTTACGGTTACGGTTACGGTTACGGTTACGGTTACGGTTACGGTTACGGTTACGGTTACGGTTACGGTTACGGTTACGGTTACGGTTACGGTTACGGTTACGGTTACGGTTACGGTTACGGTTACGGTTACGGTTACGGTTACGGTTACGGTTACGGTTACGGTTACGGTTACGGTTACGGTTACGGTTACGGTTACGGTTACGGTTACGGTTATGGTTACGGTTATGGTTATGGTTATGGTTATGGTTATGGTTATGGTTATGGTTATGGTTATGGTTATGGTTATGGTTATGGTTATGGTTATGGTTATGGTTATGGTTATGGTTATGGTTATGGTTATGGTATTTATATTTTGTGATCGCCTAGGGGTGTCAGAAAAAACTCCCCATGTCCGGAAAAAATCTGGAAATGGGTCAAAACTGACCAGTCGCATTTCCCTATATAATCTTTGTATTTTATGAGAAAAACAGAGAGCCATGGCTTGACCTTTAGGGAAAACTGTCGGTTTGACTCAAAGCCCTCGACGAGGGCTAAAAAGTGACAGTGAGTGAAATTCTCATTTTATAAGATATCTATAAATAAATTTACGAACGATCTCCCTAATATTTTGTGATGTCTTAGACCGTCCCGGGGGATAAAAAAAACATTATTCCCGTCGAAATAAACATTTAGCGTAGTTACATTTGGCCAGATAATGTATTTTCTTAAAAACAATTGTTTGTAAAAAAAAAAAAAGTAAAGAAAAACATTCTTTATTCGTTCAATTTTCAAGGGAGGTAACTTTTTTTTAAATAATTATTTTTCAAACAATTATACACTATTTTAAATATAAACAGAAAATGACGAAGTATGGCATTTGTTACAGTTAAAATTTAAGTTGTTAATTAAGGTACGTATCCTAATTAAATTAGTTAATTAATGTTAAAAGTCAATGTAATATAAATTATTAGATATACTGTTCATGGAACTTCTGTAGTTCTAATTCCATTTTAGTCATACATTTCGAACTTTCCAATATTTGTTCTGAAAATGGACTTTAAACAACACAGAACAACAACAACATTTTCTCTAAAATTAGCATTACTGTTTAAATTTAAACACTCCACACCTCAGCCGTCATTAAATAATTAAGTATTCAAATTCTCAAATGTTTTTGAAAACATAAGCGAAGCTAGGCAGTATGCCTAGTATATAAATAGCATTCCTGCAAAACGGATATGTCTCTCTTTGAATCGCGTCAGCCTTCCACAATTCAAGCAGAGTCTACTACAGCATATCATTGCAAAGTGAAGGTTAGAGCTGGTAGTTTTTACTGTAAGTGATTTGCATTTTACATTGTGGTTATAATTTTTCTGTGTGCAGCTTTAAATGTATTAATCATATCTAAAGCTTTTAACATTTTTTATTATAGGTAACAAAACTTGTTTTAACCAATCGACTACATTAAATACTTAATGATTAACATACATACACCTACACCTACACCTACACCTACACCTACACCTACACCTACACCTACACCTACACCTACACCTACACCTACACCTACACCTACACCTACACCTACACCTACACCTACACCTACACCTACACCTACACCTACACCTACACCTACACCTACACCTACACCTACACCTACACCTACACCTACACCTACACCTACACCTACACCTACACCTACACCTACACCTACACCTACACCTACACCTACACCTACACCTACACCTACACCTACACCTACACCTACACCTACACCTACACCTACACCTACACCTACACCTACACCTACACCTACACCTGCACCTGCACCTGCACCTGCACCTGCACCTGCACCTACACCTACACCTACACCTACACCTACACCTACACCTACACCTACACCTACACCTACACCTACACCTACACCTACACCTACACCTACACCTACACCTACACCTACACCTACACCTACACCTACACCTACACCTACACCTACACCTACACCTACACCTACACCTACACCTACACCTACACCTACACCTACACCTACACCTACACCTACACCTACACCTACACCTACACCTACACCTACACCTAAACCCAAACCTACACTTACACTTACACTTACACTTACTCTTACACCTACATCTACACATGTACCTGCACCTACGCATACATACACACACATACACAAACACGAGCACTTACAACTACAGCTACAACTATACCTATTCCTACTTCTACATCTGCTCATACCTATACCAACAGCAACATCTACTACAACAACTACAACTACACTTACAACTACACTTACAACTACAACTACAACTGCAACTACATCGACTAAAACTACAACTTCAACTTCAACGAAACCTGCAACTACAACTACACTTCTTATACCTACTGCAATTACTTCTACACCTACTGCAATATCTTAACCTACCTATATCTTGAGCTGGAGTTTACAAAATGTATTGATTTTTTATCACTTTAGAAACTATACCTAAATGGTATGATTAGAGTTTATATTCAAATTAGAGCTTGTAAAGATGTTACCAAAAATATTAAATCCCTATATTAAATTACCATTTAATTACATAGAATGGTACACATTATAATTAATTTTTGAATTAGTAATTTGACAGCATGGTTTGCGAAATTTTTTGAAAATTTGGCGTCCACATACGGGGGGAGGTTCGTCGAAAGTGGACGCTTGTAGACGGGTCGGAGGGTGGAACCAAAATTCAAATTTTTATCGACGTCATAAAAGGATGACCTCAAATTGAAAAAGAAATACAACATGAAGTAGTTGTTATTCTAATGTTCACTTTTATGTAGGCTATATAAGTTGTCCTGACAATCTACCTCAATGAATGGGCGCTGAGAGTCAATATAACTGCCCTCTAACAATAGCCAAAGCACCACCAAACAAGAATTTATGAAAGAAAGAAATTTTTATTGGAAATAGAATTTAATTCGCAATGCGTAAAAAGATTCAGGCGTATATTCTTAAGATTAATTGTCACAATGATGTCCCGCACATAAAAAATATTATCTCAGCATAGGAGAAGATGCAATGTGAGAGAAATAAACACAGTATTACATGACTGAAATTAGTGTGAAATTTTAAACTTTTAGCTAATATGTGAATGTATATTATAAAGTGAATATTGCCAGAAAAATATGACACGTTTGGAAATGTCATAAAAATTGCATAATTTTAGTTTGGTCAACATTTTAAAGTAGTTGGAATACAACACATTTTAAACTGTGGGTGGAGTGTCGAAGAGATATTGTTTTAAGCGCAAACTATATCTTTCATTTATTTTAAAACCTACCCTGTGATTATTTAAGGGTATGGTGTGTAAAGAATATTATTAGCTCATGGTCTCATCATACCTGATTAAAATGTATTTTAAAACGAAAACTTAACTTGCCAAAATTTTGTATCTTAAAGATGAAACTTTTTTTTTCTTCTTCTCTGTAAATATGTGTTGAAATCCATTTCAGCTTCAAATGGAAGTTCATTCTGATTTAGACCTTATAATTATAGGTAAAACTGGGAATGGAAAAAGTGCTACTGGAAATTCAATTCTGAGAGAACTAGATGTATTTAAAAGCGCGTACAACACGACTTCAATTACTGACTTTCCACAAACAGGTATTATAAAGGTGGTTGATTGTCCAGGTGTGTTAGATACGGATATTGATGAAACTGGTGCAGACGAACTTGTTAAAGAAGCTTTACAGTACGCTCTTTTAGCCAATCCATCAGGCTATGACGCTTTTCTCATTGTAGTCAAGTTCTCTCAACGTTTTACCAAGGAAGAACAAGATTCTATTAAAATTCTCAAAAGGATTTTGGGAAAAGATGTCATCAAAACCCACGGTATTGTCGTAATTTGCAACGGTGATACTTTTGAACATTTTTCAAAAACACAAGGGTTAACTATTGAAGAATTTTGTACACAACAAAAAGGATATTTTAAAAAACTTTTAAAAGAATGCAAAAACAGAGTAATTGTGTTCGATAATATAACAGAAGATGAAACTATTAAAAACAAGCAATTAGAAATCTTAATCAAAGCTGTTGACACTCTTAAAGCTAATACTAGCAAGTACACAACACAACACTTTCAAAAAGCAAACGATTTGACAGAAGCTATCTCACGTGAAAAGAAATTATTTACTTATCAAAGTTGGCTTTTGCAAAAACTACACGATGTTAAAAACTACGATACAGCGGAAAAAAAATTAACATCGTTAGATCAAATACAAAAGTATGTACAAATGCTATCATTTGAACTTCACAAAATCAGCGATACTTCAGTTCTAATGAAAGAATTTAAGGAAAATATTGAAGCCACAAACGCATATATTATAAACACCATTATCGAGTTATCACACGATTTACAACAACATAGTGCTACTGAATCTGACCTATCGCTCGAAAATCAGCACTTGCAAATAAACTGTAAAACAGAAGTGGCAAACGATCAGAAGCTGCTTAAAATAGAAGAGAAATTTCGAAAATTAGAATGCGAATTAGACATTGGCTTTTTTAAAAAGTGTTTAATATTTATTAAAAAGTTTGGTAGTAATTTGTTTGATTTAAACACATTTTATCCCACGTTGTAAATAATGTATATAGTTAGTTGTATATATTTTAATTATTTAAAAAGGCAATTTCATTTTTATTGTTTTATAATCTTCTAACAAAACTATTTTCATTATTTTAATTTAACATCAATTTTATTTTGCATCATAGTATTAGTTTAAAAAACTTACAACGCTTTATAAACTGTTTTATTTACAAACTACACGTTCTTGTATTATATGAAAGTGCATATTAATTGTGGGTATGCAGAGTAGAAATAAAAAAACAATCTCCTTTTCAGGTTAAAACATGGCTGAAGATTCTATTACTTCTTCGTGTAATGATTTAGATCTCATTCTTATTGGTAAATCTGGGAATGGAAAAAGTTCAACGGGTAACTCAATTCTAAGACGAGAAAATGTTTTTGAACCCAGTTTCAACATGGATTCTGGCACAAAAATACCACAGTATGAATGGAGTGAATTTGAGGGCAGAGTTGTGCAGGTCGTTGATTCACCTGGTGTTTTAGATACGTTTGAAGATGAAGCAGGGGGAATAACTCTGGTACATGACGCTTTACAGAACGCCATGTTGGCTAACCCAAAAGGTTATCACGCATTTCTTGTTGTACTGAAGTTTGGAAATCGTTTCACAGTAGGGGAACAGCAAACGGTTCAAATTCTGAAAGGAATTTTAGGCGAGAACTTCCTTAAAGACTACGGTATAATTGTAATGACGAACGGGGAGACATATGAACAAAATTGTCGAAAAGATAAAACACTGAGCCTCGAAACATTTTGTGCTGATCAGAAAGGCCCCTTTAAAAGTATCCTAGAGGAATGTAATAACAGGATCGTTATCTTTAGTAACCTAACGCAAGATGAGAATGTGAAGAACAGACAAGTTCAACAGCTGATTGCAATGGTTGACAAACTGGGAAACGATGGTCGCAGATACACAAATGAACACTTTAAAAGAGCTGATAAATTTTACCAGCATCTTCTAGTTTCAACATTGATACCACTGTTAACCAAACAAATTCTAAAAGAACAAAGTTTGATAATGCAAGCAATAAAAGCTATTGAAACTTTGCCAGAGCAAAGTGAAAAGATTGATTCATTGGAAAACATTATGCCAAGACTTGAAAAATTAATAAATAGCTTGAAAGAGAAAGATAAGGGAACTGGTAAACTGGTCGATTTTATAACAAATGCAAACGACACCAAAGATTTGGTAAATGCTTTTTTACAACTGTATAAAAGCAAAGGTAGCAAGCAGGCAACGACAGAAGTCTTAAATAGTTTGAATCATCAAGCAACTCAAATAGAATGTACAAGACAAAATCTGCATCAGAAAATGAAGAAATCATTTTTTGAAAAATGTAGAGACTTCCTAAAACAATTTGGTCCTTTTATTTTTGGCTCTGCTGAAATTTTAGCCAATGTTCTTTTAGCTTTATTTAATTGATTGCATCAACAACATACCTATTTAAATCATTGTATTTTTTGTAATCTAGTGAGCAAAAGGTTTGATTTTTTATTTTCAAATAATAACATAAAATTTTGTTTTTGTGTAGACATATATCAAAAAAGTGTATTTATTTTTAATATTATTCAAACTAAATATTACTAAAGCAATATTCTCTGTTTTCTTTTTTTATGTAGGTAATAATTTATTTTATTAGAATTACCTGACCTGAAAATGGCTAACTGTGTTTGATTCTTGGTGGGTTTTTTTTTTATATTAATATGAAAAAAACGTCTTAAATTTAAACTAAAAATTAGTTTACTCAATATTTTACATGTTAGAATTATTGTTGCAAGTTGTAATTATTATTGATACAGATAAAACATTTGTCGCTCACAACTGTTTCTTTTGGCTAATTTTTAATTTGTGGAGGTTGATTAAGTTAAAGTTAAAAATTAATTTAAATATGTATGTCTGCAACGGCAGAGAAAAGTATTTTGTTTCAGAGGCTAGTGTTTAAGAAAACCTCCTGATATTTAAATTAAAACATTTTTGGAAACAAAGCATAGTTAGCAAATGAATGAGGAACACGATTTGTATTCGAATTATATGTATAGATGTGTGTTTTGATTGTTGTATTTTTTAAAACCGTAGAAACTACTGGAAAAGCAAGTTGCTACAATGATTTCAAAATTTCTTGGTTACTAAAATAAATTGATAATATATTTCACTGTGAAAATGTGGCACAATTAAAAAGAAATTAAATTAATTTTGTTTGAAAAAAAAATAGTTTACAATAAATGAGAAAACAACTAATAAGGAATAAATATTTTTGCCAGACACCTATTATATTTTGCCTTTTTCTTTTACGTCCTCTTAAATTTTCACACATCGTCAAAAAAGTCCGAATCCATCACTCAATCAAAACACGTCTTTGAGATTACACTTGTCAGCTACCCTTCTCATTTGAAATGCCTTTTATCTGCCTAAGAGAGAGAGAGAGAGAGAGAGAGAGAGAGAGAGAGAGGTGTGCCTGTTTGTATGTATGTGTGTTTGTAAGCGGTTGACAGATCAAACGACAGATTGTGTCATGCGCTTAGATGACATAAATCAACAGGATTGTTTCTTTAACACGTAAAAAAATCATATGACGTGTTATAAACATCAGTGTGACTGATGCAATTTGTTAGATTTACCAATGGTGTATTATCAGATGCCCGATCTCAATTTCTGATTGAATATTCTAAAAATAGATGCTAATTGCATCATTTGCAATGTGATGAAACAGTACAGAAAGATTTCCCCGCGTTACAATGTTATTTTTAGAAGTGTGACTTTTATTTTTAGATTTGAGCTGCCCTCCGAACTTAATTTTTTACGGAAATATGTTCATTATTCCGAGAACTGTAGGCTTTGGAATTGCTTGGATATTTTTATGGCCAAAATTAAACCCTGTTAATAGTCTAACCTTGGTTAATTTATCTGATTATTCAAAAAAATTATTACAGGCCCTCAGCGGCCTATGAGAGCCTTTGGGGGCATGATTCAATTTTGTGAGCAACTGTAACGCCCCATCTTATCCATTGTCTATCGCACTATTTAGAACGAACGTAGGCGCCATTGTGCTCTAGTGAAAGCCCAGGGCACCTAATCAAACCCTACAGAGACGCCTGTGGACGCGCCTGGTTCGATATAGTCATCGATTATCGTTGCCCACCGTGTCTTTAGTGTATGGCCTTTTTTAAAAATTGAACCAGGCGCTCGCATGGGAGCCCGGGGCGCTTCGGGTCGTGCAATCTACGGGGCGCCGCCGGTTGCGCCTGTTGAAGTTTTAACGCATCTCTTACCCGCTATGCAGGAAGCACGACTAACGGATGCCAAGTGCTAACATAGCCGCTCTGAAACTCTGGGCGCCGAATTGTATATTATTTAATAGTGATTTAATAATGATACTGTCTTAACCCTCTACTGAACATCATGTTTCGTACCTTGTCCCCGGCAACTGGGTGGATTTGGATTACACCTATTGTTTACTTCATAGTAAATGGCTTCAGTTTTAATTATTGGAGTTGGTAGCAACATCGACACAGATGAAGGAATTCAGAACAAGGTGGCCAGGAGAAATCACATTAATTAGTATAAAATTTACCATTACTAACAATAGGCCCTACTTAATTGTTTAATGTTGTTGGAAATTAAGCCTTGTAGGTATTTATGTTTATTAATTTGTAAAGAAACAAAAAAAGGATTCCCAAACAAAATTTTATTTTTCAGAAATAAAGAAAATGATACAAATCAATAAAGAACAGTTTTCAAAAGAATTTGTATAAAAGTAATTATTATAAAATAGGAATATAGTGTTGCATAGATAAAAATAAAATACTTGACACAAACAATACGAGGAGTATTTTTTGGACAACCTGAATCTTTGCGATACCATGTTATAATATATTTTTTTTAAAAATGAGCTTACAATTGTTTTGAGTATTAACTGAGCAGCATACTATCTGCTCCTATTGTCATCACCAGAAATCCAGTATGTTGGCAAGGTTTAGTCTCTAAGTTCCCTACAACCTCTTTCCTCTCGAGTGCGGAAAACACTGAAATCATTAATCATTATTTCATTATGCCTAATAGTTTAAAGGCAGTATTAAAGTAGTACTAAATAGTACGAGTCTAAGTTACTTTAGGTCTAATTAATATTATTATTATTTTGTATGCTTACATGCTTTAAGTTTAATGCACAATATTGGTATATAATATATAGTCTATAGTATAGGCCTATAGGCAGGCTATAGATTATGTATACTAATATATAGGCCTATAACCCTCAATATAAGAGCAGCTTGAATAATGCTCATTACCATGCATTCACTATAAACTATAAAGATAAACAAATATTTCAATTCAATTTAATTCTAACTAGATCTAGTAATAGTAAATAGGCCTTTTTCTTGTGGTAACAAATTTAAAGTATAGGGCAGTGATAGTATAGGCCTATACTAGATTCCATATTTAAGTATGTGGGCTTTTCATTCCAATGCACCACAATAGATACCACACATGTCTGGTTTTTTGTGATAATAATTGACAGTAGGGAGAAGAGAGAAAAGATAAAAATCATCAAATAAACATGACGTCATTGATGGTTGACATTTGAAACACACGGTTACTGAAGAATAACGGGTAGTCTAGTAGTTGTTTCAAGTATTTAAAAATTGATTTTAAAAATGTAGAAATCCCTATTGCACTTGAGTGTCATCCACATCAGTGTTTTCCAAGAGTATTCGGGAAAGTATAGGGTGGATCACCCCTGCTTGTTTTTAACGTAATTCTCAGATAGTCTAATACGCAATAAAACATATTTAAAGTCGAATTTTAAATAGCATTTGATTTTACAACGTACAAATGAAACACTGATCTTTGCATTAAAAGCAATGAGCCAACCTTGCACGTCGTAATTGCTTCTGTTTTGTTGGTTCCAGAGGCTCCGTGGATACGGAGGCTGGGAACGGCTATTTTACGTTGAACAGGCCCTATGTATACATCTTCAAAGTAGTCAATCAGTCAATTCAAGTCATATAAACCTCTTTTCAAAATTCTAAAAATATATACACAAATGACATATGCACATAGGCCCTATACAAAAATGACAAAACCATCCGTTTGACTTTGCTGTTTTACCCTCGGCTTGAATTTTTTTTAAACACACAATTTGCCCAAAAGTCGAAATAACCAGAAAAGTCAGCAGCTAAAAATACATGGTGCAATATTTTGTCCTGAGATATATTGTGTTTGTGTTTCACGTCTTTGTCCTGAGTTATGTTAATAAATTCAACAATTCTGTTGGTGCATTCTTCTAAAAATGTGCTTGAAAGGAATTGTTCATCGTCGCAGAATTTCTCTAGACTCAGTCCATCTTCTTGACAATGGTGCTCAAAAGTGTCGCCGTTTGACATAACAATTTTGCCGTAGTCCTTTAAAAAACTGTTCTCCTAATAATCCTTTCAATGTCTAGACAGTCTTCTGTTCTTCTGGTGTATAGCGCGTTGAAATTATATTATTAATAAAAAAAAAACGCGTGGTAGTCTTTTTTATTAGCCAACATGGCGTTTTGTAAAGCAGATTCTACAAGAGTTGTCGCTTCTCTTTCATTAGCATAAGTATCAATAAACCAGGGGAGTCAACCACTTGTATTACTCTGTCTTCAAATTCTGCCCATTCATACTTAGGTGCTTTAATAAATTGGTCTCCTTAAAATTGAGTTTCTGTTGAACTTTCATCACTTACTATTTTATGAGCCGTCAGAAAAGCAGGACTTTATTAATGGATGTTCTTTAAATTAGAAGTTTCTATTACGTGTGAGCTGGCCACATACAGATGTACATGTGAATAGCGTGAGTCTTTCTTGTATGCAATACTACACCATTTATGCCATCGCTTTAAAAAAAATTCGGTTATGTGCTTAATATTTGTTTAAATATTCGAGTGGTGGCGCCCCACGGAAATGTATAATTTAGCGCCATTGGCTATCTTAACAACTGATGTCTGCTTATTGGGTGTCCTACACCGAGGGATAGTTCTACTTCGGTAGGGGCCTCTACCTCCACCGACAGCCGTGTCATCGGGAGTTACCCTGGCTCCCATATAAGCAATATTGCCCCTACATTTGCTTAAAAAGGCACCCTACACTTGGAATATGTCGAACTACTATATTAGATGACTAAATCTAACCATTGGTTGCACTAATCACCCGGGCAGTAAAATAACAGGTAGCTCCCAAGAGTTCCGCGATGGTCCAGACACTTTCGCAGTGGGGTGTTCTCCTTTACAATTGCGGAGGTTAATCAGTGTAAACTGTCTCGTTGGTAATGTGGATAAACTAGGGACCCAATAACTAAGATCCGAAAAGTAAAGTGACAAAAATATTTACATTAATTTAAATATGTTTTGGAAAATAAGGTTACACGTCTAAAAATACACAACTGATAAAGTGTTGGTGAAAAACAGGTCTCAATAAAATTGTAATCAATTTGTAAAAATCTAATTAAGCTTCTGCTTAAATCAAATTTGATGTCAAATTGCACTGTCATCAGTTCTTAATCCACTTGCTAATTTTCAAAGAAATTGGATGGTTAGAAATGGTAGAGATTTCACTCGCCAGTTTCGATAGATGACGAAGCACGATAGAAAAAAAGCACGACAGAGGGAGCAATTTTAAAAAAAATAGCTTGTAAAAAAAATTCATAAAAAGCGTTTTAATTACATGCTTTTATATAAGTATGCACTGAATAGAAGAAAATAAATTAGTTTCATCAAATATAATAATTAACTACTATTTTAATTACTAAAAAGAAAATAGTGGGTTGCTATATAATGTATTTAATACTTTTACTAGAATTTAAAAGGCGTCCCACACTTGTATTTTTAGTTACTTAAAATAATGCATTCATTTGTATATAAGGTTTTTATTAAAACGTTCTTAATACTATTTGTTACACGCCATTTAATTTAATTGGCGAAATTAAAGCTTATAAAAAAAGACTTTTTTTTTGCTGTATCCATAAATGAAGTCCCTAGGGTACTTAAGGGAAAATATTTGAATGTACCAGGGACGGTTCTGAAAATATGGTTGTCATGGCCATCTCGGAAAAAACTACCATTTTGTGGAGTTCTAAATTTTGATAAAGTAACATATAAACCGCCCATATAATCATTCATCATTCTTGCACTAACACTAATAGAGTCAGCTGGCTAAATTTTGTAACGGAAAATCGCTAGAAATATTTTTTTCAAAGTTTCAATTTTGTTGAAAAACCATTAAATTTACCATTAATTTCAATAAAATTTCACCATACCAAATTTTGAAAATTAAATAAAAATACTTCTATAGTGTTTTTCTGTTACAAAAACTAGCTAGCTGACTCTATTCATGTTAGTAGAAGAGGAATCAATGATTATATAGCCGATATATATGTTAGTTTATGATATTTTAGAACTTCACGTAATTCTGTTCATTTCTAGATGGCCGCTGTTGCAATAGCAACCATATTTTCAAAAGAGTTCCTGATGCTTGAAAATATTTTCCACAAATTAATCAATAAAACGTTTCAATTAAGAAGTTGTTTTTTCTGGAGCCTACCCCCCTTAATATATATTCTTTAAAAGTGTCAATATTTCAAAAAGTATTTAACAAAAAGAAAAACAGCAGGTAATTACTTAACTAGGTGCTAACGAGCAAAACAAGGTAATAAAAGTTGCATTTTATGATAATACAGTAAAACGACAAATGTCTGTTTAAATTACATATTAATACATATTCTTTTACAAAGTAGAACAAAATATGAAATATTAAGAATACCAGGAGGGCATATTGATTGCAGTCTTTTAAAATACACACAGAAAGATTACAATCTAACATTTTAATATATTAATCAAAGTTACAATTTTTTTTAAATCAGATATACAACAGCAAAATAGAAATATGCATTTCCCAATGAATAAACGACTTGATCCGCATTAATGTTTAATTTTTTAGTTTTAATACAGGTTCTAATTTTATACTGACTAATATATTGTATTACTTACGAAAAGCAGGCAAGTTAAAAAATGAAATTTCTTTGCTATGAAATAAAGATTCCAAAGTACAAAAGTACAATTCGTCGTATTTCTGTTTAATATTTTGAAAATCTAATAACAGGGGTTTTATTTTGGTATGTTGAGAATTTAAATTTGTAGCATTTTCTGTTTCTTTGATCATCTCTTCTACGCATAAACGCGACTGCTTAAGATTAGTAACCAAAATATTTGCTGATTCTCCATCATCAGCAGATTTTGATAAACTAGACTCAAAGTCGATAATTTCATTCAAAAGTATTTTTAA